AAATGTCTCTTATATCTCTATAAATTGATCTACTTAAATAATAGATGTTTTAGCTTTGCCTTGAATAATGTATTTCTTTTAAAGAAATACATTTTATAAGATATATATGAAAAAGAAAGTGTTCTTCAATATAAGTAATTATTTATTGTTAAGAGAATTTGTATACACATAATATACACACACGATAACATTATAGTTAGGAACACATAATCTCTTTCAGTTATTATATATTTTATAAATAATAAAGTGTATGAAGTACACACAATTTAATGGAAAACAATTGTGTCATTTTTGTCATGTAATATCAATTTAAAAAGAGATCGGATCATGACAGATAAAGCACTTGCCTCTTCCATGTGTCTTGCAATGCAACTTAATTACGTAGCAAGATTATATATAAACTAAAGCAAGAATATACATGTTTGTAAAGTCTTTACACATTATACTAGCGCAAAGAATATATACATGATACGAATAGTAGCAGCGTTAAATATTACACAGGCCAAATTTATCAAATATTTTCGCGCCATTATTCCTTAGAGATAACAGATGCAAGCGTAAAATGATAGAAATCTAATGATTCTCCAAGATTGTTGATATCTTGTACATTTACTTTGTATACATTCACCATACACACATGTGAAATGTTTATTAAATATCATTTACACATTGGAAGAATCATCTTCGCAATCTTGTGGCATAACATCATAATATTACGTATCTCCCTACTAGCTAGCTTATTTCTTCGTTAATCGTGGCTAATTGATGTGATTATCACTATTATGGCAAATAAGAAATAATCATCAGTAGAAATGTTATACATTTGCTGTTATAAAACTTAAAGGTATCTCATCAAAAGAAATCTGGAAATTGCAAACTGCGCGTACGAAGTGTATGTATGTATGTTCCCACTATAGAATACAAGCACAAGCAACTAAACTCATTTATTTGACTGTAAATGTCATGATTTTTTTTTTATAATTTTTAAATAAATACTTAAGTAAGAAAATGACTAGCATCTCTTTGCAGTGTTTTGTTCAAAAATTAAATTTTAAAAATATATAAATCTTTAAACAAAAACTACGCAAAAATTTTTGAAAAATACAATATGTCATGTAATTTTTATCTACAATTACTATATTTACTATATAAAATCGAAAGTACCATACGGTTGCAAACAAATTTGCCATTATACCATTGATGCAATATTTATTAATATTTTTATGACATTTGTCATAGTTTCTGATAATACGAAGTACAATAATTATAGCAAATTATGATACAATAAATAGAGAAATATTTTAAGATTGAAATTATGTCTTTTTAGTGTGCAATGTACACTTTTAACATAATCTTCTGAGATTTCAATCCATTCATTTTCTTGCTTTTAACAAATTGATCTTCAATAAATAACTTAAATAACCGCATCTTTATAAATAGAGAATAAGTTTATAAATTTATCATATTGCAGCTTTAAAACTATATGAAACAATGCATAATGTGTAGCTTAAAGATTGGTCTTTTAAGATAGTGGGCTTACTCATCGCTCTGTTAAGCTATACGTTTATGATGCATGTGTAAAGTGTGATATAGCATGATAACAAGTAATTAATACCACTAAATTAATGCTGTAAAATAGAAGGCTCCATTTATCATGTTACGTCACATTACGTATTTACATTTTGAAACTCCTCTAAGAGAAATATAAAAATTAAATATCTATTGCCTCCTCAAATGTGTTCAAGCATTAGAAATTAATTATCAGAACATTGCCTATGTTGGTTAGAGATTCCTACTGATTTGTATAATTCTCTTAAAAGAATCATTAATTTTATGATACATGCTGTATATATATATATATAATACTCAATATTGATGATCGATATTACACCTTGAATTCAGTCTGTTTATACACCATAAATCTCGCAATTTTTCACTCTCTATTGGTTGTCAGAATAAACGGCAGCTCACAATACTGGCAATCGTCGAGTTTTTTGATAATTGTTCTACCTTTACTTTCTGCGTTTCGCAAACTCGGTAGATAATTCGGTGGACGAATGCACTTGTATACATATATATTCACATCCTTTGCGGTAGGACGAAATATTCAACTTAATTCGACTACTGCTCCAGCCACGACGGTAAAGTGGAATTCGGTGATTTCACCTTGATGTTAAATTGTTTGAGAGTTGCCTCCAACGCGGTTTGATTCCCCGAGAAGTAGGCAGATACAGCATTATGGAATAATAGCAATTGCTTGTGCATTACTTTAATCTGAAACAGGAAGGTGCTTATTAGAAGATCAGTTAATAGCAGTTGATCAATTGTCAATTAACAATTTGTAAAAGGAATTAAAGCAGAATACCCTGTTTTCATCCAAGAATTTCAACTTAATGGAAACGTCCGAGCGCAATTTTTCGAAATTCTGCTTGTGCCCCTCATAACTAGCCTGTGCCTCCTCTAATCTCGCCGCATTGTTACTATCTGACTTTGTAGCTTGCACAAGAGCCTCTAAATCTGTTCTATACGCATCGTACTCTATCCTGTATAATTATTACGTTATAATAGCGTGGCTGTAACTAACGTGAAACGAAAAATATACTCGGAATAAAAATCGCATACCTCGCAGTTTCGTATTGTCTCACTGTGAGCAGCGTGTCCTCGATCGTTTTATTACACAAGGTATTCACAGAGGAAACGAAGAAATTTAAGGCCCCTAGAAGTGTCTCGCCGTTTTTAGTTAAATTTCTTTGCGTTTCCGAATTGTACAGAAACTCCTCCTGAAGCTCAGGCGATTTCTGCGCTAATTCGGAAAACGCTTCTCCGAGAGCGTGTTGCGTCTGGACAACGTGATGAAAGTGCGACGCCAAAGCTCGCGACAGTCGCAGAACGTTGCAATATTTCCTCTGGGTATCTCTGAGCAATTCGATCTGCGTCTCGAGTTCTGGAATAACAAAACCAGAGAATGCGTATTATGTTTTGGGAAACGGTAAAAATAATCCGCCAGAAATATCCTTTTAGGCAGAAACTCACCGAAGTCTACGGTACGCGACGTTTTCCCTAATCTCTCGTACATCAATTGCTTGGTACATTTGTACGTGGAGATACTCCAATTCTTCAGACTCTCGATTTTGCTCTGGGTGGTGCGCATGGTTTGCGTGTCGCCATTCTGAACCGGTGTGCCGGGCGAGACCGCGACCGCTGTAGGAATACAGACGTCTTTTACTTCAATTTTAAAGCCGTTACCATTACGAACGACGGCAAACACGCGAGGGGAGCACGTTCGACACCTACAGATCTGAGTCGTAGGACTTCCCAAGTTCAGGTTTATGGTGGCTGGTCTCGGATGGGCCTCACTGCTGCAATTGTTCGGTACGTGAGGCGGCGGGGTCCCGGTGTGCACAGCGCTGTCGCTCTCGTTTAGGGAGGGTGCGTCCTTCAACATTTCGTGAATACTGCGCTCCATCCCACTTGGCGTGACCGTAATCTGGGACATTCCTGTTACAAGGTATACACATCCAATGTAAGCACCGTGTGTGACACTTCCTCAGATACAAATTCCTTCCCGAAACAATCGAAATCTTTTCGCAAGTGACATCATTGAGAAATATACGTGCTCGTCGTCTCTCTTTACAATACATTCGAGGTAACATTCTGTTAAGATAAATAACACCAAGTGAATCTTGGACTGCCAACAAACAGCCCGAGCAGTTGCGCTTCGCTCTACACTGAAATTGAACATCGTGCAGCCCTCGCGAAGACCCGGCAACACTTTCTGACACTGGGAGAGATACTTACAGTTGACAATTTGGCAGAGAATGCAACAGACACGGTCACCGCTCACGACATTCGGCCCGCGTGCCGTTCGAGGGGTATATTATCGCGAGGAATTTCCGTAATTACAATCGGAGTCACCGTGAACCATTCGACACGCTCTTATCGCTTACACACAGATACGCCTTCTACTTGACATATCTTGAGAGAATTTTCAGACTGCGCCGTCACAGAAGACGCGAAGAAACGTCACTGGACGCTCGTCTCTCCCCAGTCTCCCCCTCGCTTTAACTTTTTTCCTCTCTTTCGTGAGAGAGAGAGAGAGAGAGAGAGAGAGAAAGAGAGCGCGAATCAAAATTTGTCCTTCGTAGCGTGGGAAATAAGCGCGAGGCAGCGAGAAGAATAAAGCGATACTTACTACATTAAAATCGACACCCGCGCGTTAACTTCTACTGCTACGTGTCAGTACGTTTTAATGTAAATCGAAACACTTGACGGCCGAGAGATTCTTATCAGCGGCGTTTCGTGGGAAGAGCAACGTGCGAGGTTAGATGGCACGATGAGCGCCGGTACCGACTGCGAGCCAATAATGCGACTTTTACCGATAAAGTTCAAAATGGATCAATATTAAAATATTAGATTTTTTTCTATAATTTTATAGTAAGAAAAGTGCAAGGTAAAACAAAAAAAAATAACTGATTACTTACTATTCTTCTCGTCATACGTTTCGTTACGCGACTTTTGAAGTTCACAGAGCAGCGTAAAAAATAATATTTTTATATTAGTATCGTGTATCTGATATTATATCATCTTCTATGTCAATGTACAGTTGATTAAATAAATAATTATGACTAAAATACATTTAATCTAGTCTAAAACTGCTTTTTATTTTTTCTAGGACTGTTTGCAAAAATTTAGTTCAAGTAAATCAATCACGTAATCAATCGGTCGTTTAATTTATAATAATTTACATTGTGCATACTGTGTCCAGATGAAGAACTACTTTTCCAATTGGTTGCCACTAATGAGACTTTTGCGAGCTTCTCATTGGACAGTTCAAGGGACGCCATTCATGAGATGCGGGGTCTAAAATTTAATCATGTCTGCCCGATCCTAAAACTTCCGTTTCCTTTTCCTTCTCCATCGCGTCATCGCACGTTGCTGAGGTACGTTGGATCGTCGATATTTATAGCGTTATTTTTGCAGTATCGCTACGTTAATTAATTTTTATATTGTCCATCTTGGACTCACGACGCTGCACGCGTATCATTTTTATATAAAAATAATACAAAAATCGTATATTAGACAATTATTGTAACGAAGCTGTATCAGATTGAGGTTATGAAACCATGTGCCTCGGGATAATCGAAAGTTCATTTGCATTGTGCTACGAGAGAACGTTCCGCATATCGAACTGAAGGAAAAACATTGTTGTATTATTTATTTAAATATGCGCTACATGATGAGAAAAAAAACGCGTCTGAACGTTCGAGGGATACAAGACCTAGAAATAGGTGAACCCACTTGTGGAACTCTGAACGAGATATGTAGGAAAAATATATATCTTATTGTCTGAAAAGTTTTAACGTCAACAATTTTTAGTGCTTTTTACGTATTGTGGTCTATAATTTTCGTCTTCAATTGTTTCCAGTCCTTAAATTTCCGTAAGGTATCCCTACACACTTCTCAAGATGGGTAGGGAGGATAAAGCGACATGGAAGTCAAATTACTTCACCAAACTTGTTGTAAGTACCCCTTCTTAACCTTTGTATTCGTTATCCTATTCTAATCTCATTGGCTGCGTTCAGCCGATACTCCGCTAGCCTAGCAATCGTGAGCAGTCGCTCGTTTCCTCTCCTTTTAATCCATTGGGTCAAAGGAGAGGA